GTATTACAGTCATCGTGTACAGGGTATTACTGAAGTGAATACCCCCTCGGTCCACATATTACGTCACGCGTTTGGGGAGGGTGGGGGGAGGGGGTCTACGCTAGTGTGACGGTCCTATACCAAAAGCATTGGAAGGTTAGGTTAGCCGCGTGACGTGGGGGCAGTGGGGTGGGGGGTCGAAAACTGCGAAAAATAGCGTGACGTAATACGTGGACGACTCCTAACCAGTTTAAAGTGGGGTGTGGGTGAAAATTTCGGCGAAAATCATAAAATGATTAAACTTGTTTTTGGTGCTGAAAATGTTCCTGGGCCCTTTCTCTGCCTATGCCTTCTTGTCTTGGTCTTTGTTCGGGTCTTTACCTTTATTTTAATTTCGAAATGCCACTTAATGATTTAAGCTCATGCTTAAGGTTTAAAGTCGTTCTTCATGATACTATGTTTTCTGATCTTTGAAAAATCACTTGCGCATTCGATTAAGTGTGAGTGTGTTTATATTTAGAGGAAAAGTGCTTTTCTGTACACACTGATAAACTAAGTGTTCAACTGCTCAACACTTCTAAGTGTGCAACTGTAAGTTAAGTACTTGCAAGTGTGCAACTGCAAGTTAAATACTTTCAAGTGTGCAACTCGGTAGGTGTGCACTTGCAAGTGTGCAGCTCCTCGGTTGAACACTTCCTACACAGTAAGCGTCTAATCTAAGGAAGTGTGCAACCGAGGAGTTGCACACTTGCAAGTGCACATCTACCGAGTTTAACACTTGCAAGTGTACGACTACGGAGTTGCACACTTGCAAGTATTCAACTTGCAGTTGCACACTTACAAGTGTTGAGCAGTTGCACACTTACAAGTGTTGAGCAGTTGCACACTTACAAGTGTTGAGCAGTTGAACACTTAGTTTATCAGTGCAGGGAACAAAGTTACAGAGAGATGTGTTCAATAGACAGTCAAATTTTTCATTGAGAATTAAATAAATCACAAAACATGACAAAATTTTAAGGTTTTCTGTGAAGCACTGATAAAACATATTGCTGTGAATGTTTAGGGGGCTAAAAAGGAAATCTCTCTCTGTAAAGTTGTTCTTCAGGATAAAAGAAAACCAAAAATGTGTATGGTTGAATTTTACTGTCAAATCTAATGCGCAAGTGATTTTTCAAATTATGGCCTAAATTTGCCTTAAAATGCTTATAACTCCCAAACCACTGGGCCAATCTCGGTCGTACTTTGTCAGAAATGTTTTTTTTTTGCATGCCTATCAAACTGAATCTGTACATCATGACTTCTCGTTGCCGATTTCCTATTTTCACCCACACCTCACCTTAAACATCAATTGCTGTGTAAGCTTCCGACACTTCCCAAAAGTATAGCAGCTGAAACACCATATTACCTATAGATTTGTGTGTATCCAAGTGTGCATAATTTAAACGTTAACAAAACGTTAAAATGTGCACACCACGCAAGTGTGGTGTGCAACTTGAGTTAAACACCATGTTATGTTTAATGTCATAACTTCTACACGCTGGTGTTTAAATTATACACACTTCACTTGTTTTACCAGTGTTCTGATTATGTTCCTCAGCTTGGCGATGCTTGCTGGACCTATGTCACCTGAAAACAGTGAAACGCTTTCTTATCTGTTGTGTTTTCTTGTGAACTTAGGGTAAGACCGCCACTCACCTTTTTCCTGCTGTGTCTATGGTTGAGCACAACTGTGAGCCCACTGGGATGCTGCTGGCGTGGGATCCGACCAGCCAGTCCATGGAGCACATCGTGGTGACGTCAAGGGGAGTATCGAAGGGCGAGCACATCAGCCTGGACTACTTGGACACGCCCTTCCAGGTATGGAGCGCTGTTGCGAAAAGTGTGGATTAAGTATATAAATATAGGCACCACATTTGTAACGAAGCAATAGGGTACTCGGTACTCTAAGATGCGGTCCGGCAGATGTAGAACGAAAACGGAAGAACGAATGGTGCCCGCACCGCTTCCCCGCTCGGTTGGCCGTCGATTGGTGTTAAATTGTTAGCTTGAATACATTTTAGATAAATACAGACAATCCCTGCCCGGAAAAAAATCGTGCTCCCCCCCCCCCCCTTTTCACTCGCTCTTTTCCCTTGCGCATATGGCCCGAGGGAGGGCCGGACCTCACGAGTGATCGGATGTGTAGACGGACGAAGTGTATAGGAGGGTGGCCGTAAAAAAACTCAAAATATACGGAGAGAGCAACACGGGTCAAAATCGAGAAGTTGATGAACAAGCACACACTAAATGCTTATGAACTTTTTTATTCGCAGTTATGAACAATTTTATACGTAGCTTACTGAAATCTGTACGCGTGCTCTGTTACGGATTATT